TGCCGCTCTTCCCCTATCCCCCCTGCCACCTGAGGGTCCCCAACATTTTCCAAACTGTGTGTCACGTAGCCTGATGAAGCCTGGCCAGGGTCCTGCCCAGGAGGTGACCGCACCTCCCAGTTTTCTCACCGCCACTCCTGCACGCCTAAGCCTCTACCCCCAGGACCTCTGCCTGGCCTGTGCGTTCCCCGGCCCTCCCTGCCCCTTCCACTGAGGGCCTCCCACCCCTCCAGATGGGCCCACGAGACTTGGGTCACGTCTGTTGGGTTCACTGGTTTTCCCAGAACCGGCTCAGGGCTGATCGGTACGCCGGAGGTGAGTGTGGGATGGACGCGGGTTAGTCGGCCTGGGGCCGCCGCGAGACCACCCTGTAGGCAGGCCTTCCCCACGCGGGTCTCTTTTCGTGGGTCTGGGGGCTGGAAGCCGAAGGTCAGGGCCCCTGCACGCGGTTCCTGGAAGCCCCCCCTTCCCGGTCTGCAGACCTTCTCACTGTGTCCTGGATGATCGGGACGTCCTGGACCGCAGCCTCACGCCCTCACCTAACCACCATCCAGGGCGGGGCTGGGGCCCTGAATCGGGGCAGAGGGCATAGCCTCCGGTGTGTGGGGTGCTGACACTGAGCCCACCCCCCCAAATTCCCCACCTCGTGTCCTCCGACTCCTCCCTCAGCTGTCAGCTCTGCCCTGGCCCTGGGCCCCTGCCTCTGGGAGGCGGAGCGGCCCGTCCAGGGGACACCCCAGCGTGTGAGGCTGCAGCCCGAGTGGGGCCGGGCCACGAACGGGGCGCTCCCCGGGCCCCGAGGCACGTGCGTGCCTCCTTGGACAGGCGGGTGTTGGGCATCCTCTTAGCGCGGGTTAGAGAACATTCCAGGAGTGGGCTGGAAGTGTTCGTCGGGAAGAGGGGCCTGGGGACCACCAGGGGAGAGGCGAGAGGGTCCCGTCCACACTCCTTGGTGAGGCCTGAGCCCAGGGTGGGGCCCGCTGGCTCCTGCGCCCGCTTCCCCTGCCAACCCAGGGAGGTCCTGGGGGATTTGGACGTCCTCCTCCCACACCCTGTCCCCCCCAGCCCCGTGTCTGCTCCTTCGGTCCCTGGACACCAAGTCCCAGCCCAGCGGCCAGGCAGCCTGGTCAGGGACACTGGGGTGCTGTTGGGGCTGCTCAGCGGGAGGGAGACCCCTCCAGAGTCTGACCCTGGCACTCGGGAGGCAGATGGAGCCCCTCAACCCCTCCCTGGGCCCCATCCCACCCCTTCGCGGTCAGGACAGTCTCTGTTCCAGAATCTCAGGGGAGACAGAGCCGCTCCCAGAGCCCTGAGCCTGCGTCTGGCTAGGGAATGTCTGGGCCACGGTGTGCCCTGCAAGCCCGGGGGCACTTCTGGGGGAAGCGGGGCTCCCTGGGCTGTGCGGTCTGACGCAGTGCACACGGCTGGCCCAGACTTAACCCAGTCAGGACGGAGAGCCTCCAGCCCTGCCCCGGGCTCGGGAAAGCTGCCCCAGGTGGGAACATGTCAGTGCTGCTGGGGAAAATGTCAGATTCGGGGCAAAGGGCATAGAGAGGGCCACAGGCTGTTCAGGTCCCCATATGGCCCCCACAGGGCTCCCGGGACTCAGCCCCACGCAGGGGATCGGCCTAGCTGACAGAGGCCCTCACACGGGGCTGGTGAGCTCACCGTGCCCCCGGGGGAACTGAGGCGCTGACCTGCCCCTCTCCCTGGGTGGGGAAGCCTACCCTGCCGCCCCCCACCCCCGGCCTCCGCTGATCTCTGATGGAGGAGCGGGCGCACCCCTCGCAGACCTCCCTCTGAGCGGCTGTCAGGAAGGAGGGGAGAGGCTGCCGCCTCCTGGACCAGGCAGAACGACCTCCACGAGGGAAGGGTCCGCTACGGGGCCAGCATCCCCTTCCCTGGGCTCCTGGGCAAGCTGAGGCCACAGGCAGGAGGGAGCTGTGAAGCACTGCGGGGTTAATGGCAGGAGAGGGCGCGGGAGGGACCGAGGGGATGGACGGTGGGGGCCGGGGGTGCAGAGCCGGCGGGCGGGCGGGCAACTGGAGGGGCCAGGCAGTGCCGGCTCCCCTCTGTGCTATGAGGCTGGGCTGCTGGACGCAGCCACGTTTCGGGACACAGTGTATTGCAGGAGAGCTGTAGACTTCCAGAAACGCGGCAACAGTAGTACACGGAGTTTGCACTTACCCTGCGCCCAGCTTGCCCTTGAGCTGACCTCGGGCATGGGCCCGGGACGTGGCAGAGTGAATCAGTGGCTTCTGACCCATTACCGTCCACTGAAGTCCACGTGCTGTTCCGAGCATCTCGGGTTTTCCCTAATAGCCTGTTTCTGTCCCAGGTTCCCACCCAGGGCACCGGAGCATTGAGTCCTCATGTCTGTGACAGCTTGTGGTGACCCGGACAGTTCCGAGGGGGACAGGACAGGCACACTGGATGCCCCTCCGTTGGAGGTTGTCTGGTGTGTGAGTCACGGTCAGACTGGGCTGTGGGTCTGGGAGGAGGACTCCAGGGGGAGGACTCCCCGCCGTCGCGTCCGGTCTCGTGCTCCGCCCCTGACTCGTCCCCGTGACGCCGGCCTTGCTCACCTGGCTGGGGTGCGTGTCAGGGGCAGCCTCCCATCCCGCGGCCCCAGGAGGGAAGTGGTTGTGAGAGCCGCACCTGAGGGGCGGGTCAGGGGCTCCCCTCCACGTGGGCACGTCCCTGCAGTGTCTGGGACTCTCCAGGCCGGCAGGTGTCTTATCTCTCTCACCTGCTCCTCTACTCCATTGGCTATGAGCCCAGCCCGGGCCCCCGGGTGTCCATGGGAGAGGGTGGGCTACCGTCCAGCATCGTGTCGCCGCACGGGCTCTCTGGGGACCCCACCGTGGCCATGGGGAGAACTCGCAGTGAGCTCCAGGGACAAACACTTTCCGGTGAACTAGTCCATTATTGGATGAGGTTGGGGAGAGGAAGGAGAAAGGAGTTTGCTGGCCCAAAAATAACATATCACACATGCGAACACATGTGTGCAAGCGCACACACACACACACACACACACGTGCGCTCGGGCACGTGGAAGCCCCCCATCTTCCGTGGAGAAGAAAACAGGAGGCAGCCCAGACCAGCTGGTGTGGGGCCTGACCCTCAGGACACGGTCTGAGGGGGGCAGGCGGGCATGGGTCCCCCTGGGCCGGCCCCTCAGGAACTGGCCTGATGCTTTCGGTGCCCCGCGGCTCCCATGGGTCAGCGCGGCCCTCAGGAGTGGGTGGCCACCCCAGGCGCCCGGGGAAGGTCAGCATGTGGCTGAAGGACTGGTAGCCGGGCAGGGCCAGAGCCTTCCCCTCCAGATGCGTGTCCTCTCTTGGGCTGCCGGGGGCTGGAGAGGAAGGCCATGGCTCAGCCGAGGGGGTGGGGTTCACCGGGGCAAACATGGGTATGGGGAGAAGGGGCCGTGGTTAGAGGCCCAGGTTTTAGAGGGGCTGGGCTTTGTCTGTTGCCCACGAGGGATGCTGTGCTGCTCTCGGAGGACACGCAAGGCCACCCGGGCACAGTGCCTGGTGCGCGGTGCATGCTTGGTGGGGGCGGGACACGATCCCAGGCCCAGCTCAGCTCTGGCTCTGCAAGGTTCCCTCCAGACTCCATGCAGAGGCGCCTGGGGGGCTGGCCGCAGGCAGGGTCTCCTCACTGCCCCGGAACAGGCTGCCCAGCGCTGTCCTTCTCACTGAAGTTGGAGAAGAGCCACAGTCACGTGCGGCAGACCCTGCCAAGCAGCTCGGCCCCACGGACAGAGGGTCGGGCCGGCCAGCTTTCATAGCCCATGCCCTGTCGTATCCGGGGTCCCCCACTTTCACTCTGGCCACCCCTTGGGTCACACCTGGCCTCCACCTGGACCAGTCCACAGGCACCTGCCATCAGAGACCCCCTTGTGCCCCTGCCTACCCAGGGTGGGGTCTCCTGGGACCGGGGGGAGGGGCCTGGGGTCACCGGCTTCGACGAGGGGTCCCAGCTGCCCTGGCTCTTGACAGGGGGTGGGAGGAGGTGGCCAGAGCTGCTGGTTCCTAGAAGGCCAAGGGGTCACCTCGCCTACAGCTATCTGGAGCACTCCCCCTCCCCCTGCTGCGGTCTCCATGTCCCAGAGGACCCCATGTGAGAAGCACGGGTGACAGAGAAGGAGAGCGATTGCAGCCCAGAGGTGAGCCCCTGCCCCCCTGGCAGCTCCTGCCGCCCCAAGGACCACAGCAGGGGCGAGGCAGTCCAAACCGGCCCAAACTGGACCCAGACAGCTACTTCACTGCATGTCCTCTCCAGGGAACAGAGACCCACACACATCTGTGTCTACTGCCTGCCCCTTCCTCAGGTTTGCATGGTTTAACTGGATGACAGACTCGTGTTTTGACACAGCCTCCCTCGGCGGCCCACCCAGGCACACGGCCCCAGGGCTCTGGCCCACCCTGGTGCTCTCCAGACGGTTCTGCTCCAAATGACCTCTCCCAAAATGTTGTCGTCACAGAACATTTCTGATGGTGTTTCCAAAGATGATACTCCAGTAGTGACGTTCAGAATCGAGCCTGTCTCCCAGCTCCTCCAAGGATCAAGCCTTGGGCAGGATTCTGCTTGCCTACTCCCGGGACGAGAAGCTCACCCCCTACCCAGGCCCCTTGGCCTCTACACACCACCTCCACCCACTTCCTCCCAGGATGTGCTCTGGGAGCCACACCAAGAGCAAGGCCGCGCCCTTCGGGGAGGGGGCTCATACCCTCAGAGGTCCCTGTGCCTTGGGCCAGGGCTGGAACCTCAGGGGGTGGCAGGAGCTGGTCTCGCTGCCCTCCCTGCCTTCCTGCCCGTCTTCCGTCTTCCGGGGCAGCCAGAGGCTCAGCTCCCCGGGTGTGCCGCCACTTAGAGATCAGCCTACCTCCCGGGCAGGCAGCTGTGGCTGAGGCCCCCACCCAGCTGGAAACCACAATGGGCGGGGAGGAGCGGGGAGAGGAGGGGAGAAGAGGGGAGAGGAGAAAGGAGAAGAGATGGCCACCATGGGGCCCTGGAGTCGGGTCAGGGTCGCCAAATGCCAGATGCTGGTCACCAGCTTCTTTGTCTTGGTAACAGGCCGGCCGGGTGGGAGGGGTGTGGGGGTGGTGGGGGGCTGTGTCCGTGGACTTCTAGTGCTGTGGTCTCCACAGACACACCTGGCCCTACTGTCCCCACCCTGCCCCAGGGACATGCATCTGGGGCCCCTGGCGGTGGACCACTGGCAGGTGGCTGTTTGGGCAGGATGTCCTGTGGGCCCCACCAGGCAGCACGGGACCGGGGAGGCGGGTGAACCCGTGTCGGCTGGCACAGGACGGAGGAGACGATGCTGAGCCCGTCTCAAGGGAGACCATGAAGCCAGAGGGAGGTTGGTCCAGGGACCCAGGAGACCCGGACCCTGCTCTCCCGGCCTCGTTGTGTGTCGGCCCTGCCCCCACACTCTGGGTCTGCCCCACCCCCAGCTCCTGGGCTTGTCCGTGGCCACCTTGGCGGCTCTCACCTACTTCGGGGCCCACTTTGCCGTCATCGGCCACGCATCCTCAAACGGGACCCCCTACGAGGCCATGCACCGCTGGGGTAAGTAAAGTCAAGTCAGGTGTTCTGCCGGTCAGGGGGCTTCCAGGGCAAAGGCAGCCTGGGAGGCACTCCAGGCTGGGCAGATGGAGGCCTCCTAGAGGAGCTGGGCTGGTCAGGCAGTGGATGGGGGCAGAGAGGGCCACCCTGGCAGCCTTCTGCACTGGGCAGAGCCAGGGGTCTGGGTTCCAGCCCCATCCCATTCTGGGAGCCTGGGGACAGGTGGGAGTGTCAGGTGGCGTCCAGATGTCCCCGATATCCTGGGGGGGTTGCTCTGGGACAAAAGGGCCCAGACCTGGATGCACTCTGGGGGCTTGGTCTCAGAGAGCAGCCATGGGGGAAACTGAGGCCCAGAGAGTCAGGCTGAGGTCCCAGCCGCAGGCCTCCTGACCCTTAGGCCCCGGGTTTTTACCCTGGAGCCTGAATCCTGGTGCAGGAAGCTCGGGTCTTGGGTCTGTCCTGATAAGAACGAGCACCCCGCACTTGCCTGGTGGTTTCTGAGATAGCCAGAAGTGGGGGGCGGGGCCGAGGGCCTCCTTCCCTCCGGCCTCTGAGGATGGCGAGCGGAAGGAGTGGGTGGTGGGTTGCCCATCCTGGCCTGAGCGGGGTTCCTGGTCTATTCAGAGCTCCCAGAAGCCTACCCCCAAAGTGTACCCTTGGGTCGGATTTCCAGTACAGGCCCTGTGCGCTGGGGACCCTGTCGGAGCGCGCCTAACCCTCCTTCCCTCTGTCCCCACCCAGCTTTCTACACCACCAGCAGCCTGGCTGGGCTCCTGGCCCTTGGTGCCGTCCTGGGGGCTGCAGCCACTGTGAGGGAGGCCGGGGGCCTCATGGCCGGGGTGAGTGCTCCCTGCCCCCAGTCCCCCAGGCTCTGGGATGCGGTCAGAAGCAGGTGCGGGAAAGCCCAGGGAGCCTGCCCCTCCCACGGTGTCCTGAAGGATATGTGCAGCCGGGCCCCCCCACCTGCCCCAACCAGGGTCCCTCGGCCAGGCCCTGCTTTACCCCGTCATCCAGGGGGGGCTAGAAAGGCAGCACAGGCCCTCCCAGGCCTGGGGGGCCATTGCCCAAGGCCCAGGGAGCGTCTGGTTCTGTTACGCAGGCCAGGTCACCTGTAGGTCTGGGCTCGTGCAGTGCCCCGGGGGGCCCACCTGAGCCCACCCTGCTCCTTTGCAGCTGGAGAGAGGCTCCGTGTCACCCCACAGGGGACCCTTGTTGCCCCCATTCCTGCTCGTCCCCAGCAGCCTCTCCTGCTGCTCCGCCGCCAGCCCTGCCCCCCCAGGGCCCATCTGTCTTGCCCACTCTGGGCACAGGCCCTCCTCCCCTACTGGAACCTGGACTCCCTGGTTCCCCACTGCCCCCAGGCACCTGCCATCCCGGCCTGGCACCTTCCGGGGCTCCTCGCAGGTTCAGGACGGAGTCCCGTTGAGGGAGGCGGGCCGGTTCCAGGGACCCAGAGGGCTCCCGCAGGACCAGCCAGGAAGGCCCTCAGCTTCGCACGGGATAGAAAGTGAGCACAGAGTTTACCCAAGAGCGTGAGTGAGGGACAGAGAGCCCCAGGCGGAGCGTCTGGGAGACTCGGAAAGGACAGGAGGCGGGTGTCTCCCTCACTCGGGGCTGGGGATTTACAGTGGAAAAGAGTCCAGGGCACGTGTTCCTTCAGGAAGCTGGGGAAGGGTGTGCTGGAAGGCGAGCCACAGGCGGACATCGGGAGATGGTCCGCAAATCGCCCACAGTGGTGCGAGCCAATGCTGGCGTCAGCCCGGTTTCATCCGGGGCCGGGGCAACAGTGGAGAACATCTGAGGTTCCCGCCTCCCCGGGAGTGGGACCGTAGCTTCTCTGGTTTGCAAGGCGAACCAGAGAGCTCGAGGAGAGGGAGACTTTCTGAACCCCAGTCCCTCCAGCTTCCCGGCCTCACGGTCTCCCTGCAGCTCCACAGACCACCCCCAGCCTCCCTCGGCCCCTTCCAGCCACCAGACCCCCACTCTCTCTAGCCCTCTGCTCCTGCCGACTCTCCCCAACCCCATGAGGGGCTCACGGACCAACGAGCCCCTGAGCCAGGCCCCCGGACTCACAGAGGGCAGCCATCTGGGCCCCCAGGGCCGGCAGGGTTCTCCATCCAACCTGTGTCAGCAAATGTCTGTGGACGTGTCCCCATCTGCAGGAGCGGGGACACAGTCACCTCCCAAAGCCATAGCCCGGGGCAGCTAGCCCGGAGTGGGACCAGGCAGCTCCAGCCCTGACCAGGCCCCCCCTGGCTCGTGGGCCGGGCAGTGCGGGCTCAAGCTGGCTCTGAGACTCTGGCCGTGGCGGCCTGCCAGTGGCCGGGAGTCAGGGAGGGCAGGGAGACCCAGTGGGAGCCGGCGGGGTAGGCGGACTGTCCCCCTAGAGCAGAGCCCTAAGGCTTGGGGTCTGCCTGAGGGGCACAGAGGCAGAGAACAAGGCTGTCTCAGGGCAGGTACGGCCTGGAGAGGCCTGTGCTGGGACAACAGTTTGGCCACCAGGGGACGCCATGGTGCTGGGTCACAGCCCTGTGCTCCCCAGGGCAGAAGGCGCCCCAGTTGCCAGTTGCCTTGTCCTGCCCCCCCCAGCTCCTGCCTGCTTTTCCCCGCCCAGATGCTCAAGGGGGCCGCCCTGCCGCCCTGGTCGGTGGGTAGGGCTCAGGAGCTCGGGGATCTCGCTTCCGCACGCCCAGCCCCACCAGAGGGTCGCCCAGCCCCACCAGAGGGCCTGCGGACTGCTCTGGGCAGGAGCCACCTGCTGCCCCCAGACCCCGCCCCAGACCCCAGACCCATGGCCCCCCAGGGGCCCGCACACGCGTGTGCACCTTTGCGGCCTGTGGTGCCGGCCCGTCTGTGTATCCGCACACGCGTAGAGGCCCACACAGAAGGACCATCCAGCAGGGAGACGCTTCCCAACCTGCCGGGCACCTGGCTGCTGCCCGCATCCGCCCCTCCTGCCCCCACCCCTCCGGCCTTGCACAGGCCTCCGGAGCAGGAAATGAACCAGCTCCCGCTGCTGGAGCACGGCTGGCAGGGACGGCTGATTTATTGACGTATTTTATTTACAAGGAGCAAGAAAATGCGGGGCTGGGCCCAGCTGCCCCCAGCAGGCCGGCACAGCGGCACGGGCCCTGGGGACACGAAGGCGACCTGGCCCAAGGCCCCCTCTGCAGGCGGGCAGGCGGAGGTGGGGAGGGAACTCGCTCTCTCCTGGGGAAGGAAAGGATTTCTGGAAAATGCTGGTCCCCTGAGCTGGCTCAGGGCCTCCAGCCTGGAGGCAGTGGTGAGCGATGGTTTCCAGATGGAGAAGGAGGCCCTCGGCCAGGCAGGGAGGAGGAGGAGAGGGAGGAGGGAAGAAGAGGAGGAGGGGGAAGGGGAGGAGGAAGGATAGGAAGGAAGGGAGGGGAAGGAGGAGGAGGGGCAGGGAGAAAGGGAAGAGGAGGGGGAGGGGAAGGAGGGAGAGGGATGAGGAGGAGGGGGAGGGAGGATCCTGGACACCGAGGCCTGCAGGGACCCCGGCTGGAGGGAGTAGGAGAAGGTGAGGGCTGCCCATGCCTGAGCAGAGCCAGATCCCCATGCCGGCACCGGGTCGGGGTGCCGGGCAGAGGCGGCCCCCCTTTCCCAGCAGCTGGTGGGACGGTTTCTTGGTGCAGCCCTGCGCAGCTGTGTCCGTGCAGAGCTCTGTCTGCAGGCATCTCTCCACTCCACCGGTCAGCGATTCTGCTGGGTGTCCCTCTTCGCGAGGAGGCCCCTGGGTGGGGAGAACCGAGCCCCGGGCTGCCCCCAGCTGCGGACCGGCCAGAAAGGGGTGCTGTGTCGGCCCAACCAGTGACACGCGGCCTGGGGCAGCCAGCGGTGCCCCCACAAAGCTGGCGCAGTGAGAAGGAGGTTACATGGGCCCTCTGGGCGCTGAGGCTGTGTGGCCAGCAGCCCAATGAGCTGCCCAGAGCCCCAGGAGGAGACCCAGCAGGAGACCGGCTGCAGGTGGCCTGCCAGGCCGCACACTGTGACCCACACCTCCTCTGTCCCAGGGCTTCCTGTGTTTTGCCCTGGTGTTCGGTGCCCTGGTACAGGTGGTCTTCTGGGGATTCCACAACCCCACCCAGGTGAGCGCCCGGCCCAGCCCCCATCCCACAGCGAAGGGGCACGTGAGGGAGGGGTACGTGAGGGAGGGGTACGTGAGCTGTGAGCTGGGAAAGTCACCCCTCTCCCCGGGAGAGACCATTCTGGGGGGGATGTCCCCCGCCTGAAGGTGGGGCACAGAGACCTGACGCCCAGGCCTCTTTGGGGCTGGGGCAGGAGGTCCCAGGGAAGCGGGAGCAGGGGCAGGCCTCCGACCCCCTCACCCCCAGCCCCTCAGCCCTGGCCCGGAGTTGGAAAGGGGATGAAGGGCTGGAGGAGGAGGGTCCCAGCTGACCTGAGGGATTGACTAGAGGGGTCAGTGCTCTGGAAACTGGCCCAGAAGGGACTGCCCTGCCAACTGTGCCTTGTCAGAGTCTGGTCCCCAGGAGGACAGCCACCCTTCGGTCCTGGAGCAGGGGCAGCCCAGCGGGGGTGGGGGGCAGGCTGTCCTCCCGGCCCCACCCCCACTGTGGGCTCTTCCCAGGGCTTCTGTGTTGGTGGTGACTGGGGTGGTGAAGCCCGTCGTCATGGTGGGGATGGACCCCCCGCTGGAGGTGGCGCCTTCCTTCATCCGTCCATCCGTCCCTCCATCCATCCATCCACTCAGGTGGACCCATCCATTCTCTGGGCACTGCCTGGCTCAGCAGGTGTCGATGGACTCGTGTGAGAGGGCCCTTGTCCCAGTCTGGGGGGCTGGGGGAGGCGCCAGCTCTGGGCTAACTCAGTCGCAAGGACCACAGGCCCCAGAGCCCGCATATGAGCAGGGCGCGAAGCCCGCAGGCCCGGGCGCGGACCCCAGCATGGCCCTCCGGAAGTTCTCTCTGAATTCAGGGCCCCGAGGGGAGGCAGAGCGCCTGCCTGGGGGATGGGCTGGCCAGTGCGTGTGTGGAGCCGGACCCTTCCCAAACCCAGGCTGGGGGTCAAAAACAGTTCCCTTGTCTGGGCAGAGGAAGTAGGGACCCAAGAGGCTCAGAGAAGGGGGTCCTGGAAGGATGGCAAGTAGGGGCCAGCCCCTAGCCCAGCTTCTCCCCTGGCTGAGGCCAAAGGGACAAGGGACAGGCCTTCCCCCAGTCCCCAGCCCTGGACAAGGTCCTGTGAGAGCCCAGACGCAGGCAAGCCCCCCTGGGCGACCTGAGAAGCCAAAGGGCCTGCAGGAGGGACCACAGAGAGGGGCAGGAGTGCTCTGCTGCTGGACCCTGTCTGCCCTGACTGTCCGTGGTCCCTCACTGGGTCTCAGTTTCTCCATGTACTCCGCAAGGACCAGCCCAGGAAAGCCAAGGCCCGTCTGCCTGAAACGTGTCCAGCATCTGCAAAACACTGTGCAAGTAGCAAGTGACAAGCATGATTCCTCACGTGTGTGTCTCAGTCCCCAGAGGCCCCAGCCTCTCTGCTGCCTGTACCCCCCCGCCCCCCACCACCAAACGAGAGGCCTACAGGAGCAGAGGCTCGCAGAGGGCAGCTGGGTCGGGACACCGGGCCTGGGTCACTCTGTGTGCTTTTAGCTGTGTGATTACCCTCTCCGGTCCTGGCTGCCCGTGCCACCCCCCACCCACCCCCGCCCAGAGGTGGGCCTCGCTTCTCCCTCTCCGTGCTCTTTGGCGTCCACGAGGCTGAGTCACCAGGCCGAGCACGGCAGTCATGCCCTTTTTCTGCAGAAGCGGTTCCCAGTCTCAGGGGGCAGGGGGCCCGGTCACACTGGCGGAACCAGGCCAGGAGGACCCAGGAGGACCAGGAGGATCCAGCCCACCCTCCAGGTCCCCGAGTCAATGCCTCTTCTCCCGTCCCTGCCCAAGGATTTCCCCAGACTGCCCCCGGCCACCCTGGCATTTGGGGTCACCCCCATGACATTTCCTCCGGCTACAAGGCCGGACGGGGTTGGTGTCCCCACACAATGACCGGGGCCCTCAGTGGGGCTGGCCAGCAGCTCACCCAAGGAGAGTCGGGTGGGCTGGAATTTCAGGCTCCTTTTTCCCATTCACTGCTCTGGCCCATTCCAGGTCTGGGGACAGCGTGCGTGGGCCCGGTCAGGACGGCGGCCAGGGTGCCCTGGGGCCTCCTGAGGCTCTCCTGGGATGGCTACAGCCCCTCGTCTCTTCCCTGACACATTGTGTCTATAGCTGGAGCCCCGGATCCTGGGTCCTGCTGGGGAGGGGCTGTGCAGTGGATCCGGCTCTGAGAAGGGGAGGGGGTGGAAGCCAGACAGCTCCTAGCGGGGCCTCTGCTCTGTCCCAACCGCCTGCCACCATGCCCTACAACATCATCCTGATCTGGTCCAGGCTCCGACTGGCCCCCAGGAGTCAGTTCTTGGGGTTTTGCCTGACCCCAGATGGGGGCTGAGCCTCCTCCCGGGTCCAAGGCCTGGGGGGCCCCCATCAGCCTCCCAGTAGGTCTGTGTGCATGTCCAGGCCCCTGCGGGCAAGAAGCGACCAGGGCACCGGAGATTTGGCTGCTCTGACTGGACTCAGCCTCCCCAGCCGGTACCCTCACGTGACCAGCTGCCTTCCCGGCCTCAGTTTCCACCCCGGGGGAGGGGGCGCGGAGACAGAGTGCATGCGAAGAGCTCGGTGGGAGTATGTCGGGGGGTCCCGGCTGGCTCGAGGGGTTGCCGTCCACTCCAGGCCTCCCCGGGGACCCTCCCAGCCCAGATACGTCCCAGCCCCGGACTCTTTGGTTCCCCAGGGTCCTGCTGGCAGCGCGGTGACCAGAGAGAGCCCAAAGGCCAGACTGTTTACCCCCGCTGTCCCCAACATCTCTCTGAACAACCCCCAAGGCACCCTGAAATACGGGGTGCTGACCGAGGCCTGGGGCGTCCCCACAGATGGGAGGGCAGAGAATAGAGTCAGAAGGGACCGGCCACGTTCTTCCGTGGCCTCAAGCCAGGCTGCAGGCCCCGGGGTCAGTGAGGGGGTGCCCCACCCCTCACGGGGTTTCCCAGCTTCCACTGTCCACCCTTGTTGCTCCAAATCCATCCTAGGGGGCACCCCTGGAGGTCTGGAAGTCACGCTTAAGGAGGGGGACCCTGGCAAGAGACTCAGAGGTGGCAGGGCCTGGTGGCCTCTGAGAGCACCCGGTCCACCCCAGTTTTCTCCTGGGGAAACAGGGACTCGGGCTCCTAGAGCACCCCGAAGCCGGTACTGGGGGAGAGATGCCTAGGCCCGTGGGAAGAGTTCAGCCTGGCCCCCACTGCCAGGTCGGGGGGTCTTGGGTGAGGGACACGGCTTTGCAGGATTTGCATCTCTGCCTGCAGCGGGGGCTCGTGTCCCCAGCTTCTGGGGTGGTGGGGACAGACCCCAGCTCAGCACGTTGTTCCTACACCAACGTTACAATGGTGTGAGCTAGCCTCGGGGCACCCGGCTACTCCCAGGACCCTGGGGTGGGGGGTGGAACCAGGAGGGTGGTCTGAGCTGGCCTCCTTGTCTCGGCCACCGGTCCGCTGACCCCAGGCCCGCTGACCCCAGGCCCGCAGACCCCCGACCCACTCTACTCAGCCCCCAGCCTCCCCTGGCACAGAGGCTTCGTGGTCTCGGCTTCATTTCAAACTTGAGTGGCCACTAGCCTGACGCCCGCCCTCCAGCCCAAGGCACTTCCCACCTCCCAGCGGGTTGGCTAGACGCCAGCTGACCCAGTTAGGGATGACTTGCATTGCAACGTCTCAACAGGAGGGTCGCTTAGTGCCAAGAGGGGCTCTGGGGGTTGGGATGCAAGTTCCTTGGGGTCCTGTGGAGGCATGGGGGCCCTGGAGCGGCTGCCTCCACGGCCTCCATGGCCCACCGACCCCGGCCCCCAGGCTGCCAGCAGGATGGCCACCCCTTCCGGGGAGCACCTGAGTGGCCAGAGCAGGCATGGGCATCGGTTCACCCCTGGCCCTTGAGGGCAGCCCTGAGCAGCCATCATTGTGTCCCAGGTGGAAAAGGGGCAAGGGAGTGAGTGCTCAGGGTCTCTGAGAGGAGCAGGAGGCTCGGAAGGCGGGGGTGGGGAGTGCGCAAAGAAGCCTGGCCTATGCCAGGACACTGTTGAGGCCAGAGCAGTCAGGGAAGCCTTCCTGGAGGAGGTGAGACTCCAGTTTGTCTTTGTCTTTGGGGGACTAACTTGGCAAGGGTGGGCGTTTGGGTTCGCGGGGAGCAGTGTGAGCACAGGCAGAAGGAGGTGCTGAGGAGGGGGTAGGCAACAAGGTCTGGGTGATGCCGGGAGGCAGAGTTAAGGCAGAGCCCGGCCAGGCCCCCCATCAATCCCTTCCTTCCCCATTACCTGCCTTGTCTGCCCCCAGCTGGCCCCGGATGCCTGTGGCTTCTTTGGTCAAAGGCCCTTGCCCGGGGTTTTGGGACGCACCAGTGGTTCTAGGAAAAGACCTAGACCATCACCGGGGAGCTGAGCTCCTGGCAGGAAGCTCCTCCAGGCTTCTCTGCCCAGGCCCGGCTGTTGGCTTCCCTGTCCCACCATCCAGATCGACTGACGTCGGGGGGACCCTTCCCTCAGTCAGGCTCACCACGCCCCGGAAGACCAGAGCTGGAGGCAGGCCACAGGGCTCGGGGGTCTGGAACCCGGCCCCAGCCCGGGAAGGGGCAGTGGTGGTCACTCTTGTTGGGAGGGGTCCTCGCAGTGGAAGTCTGGGGACCAGCCTCCCCAGTGACCCAGGCTCTGCCCTCGGGGGGCTCTGCCTGGTGCAAGGAGGAGGGGGCTGTTAGGACGGCTCACGGGGACCAGCCTCACCCTGGGGAGCCACGTCTCTAGGGAGGGGCTTCACCCACATGGGGTCTTCCCACGGTGCTCTCGGCGCAGGTGGAGGACGCAGTGCTGGACGTCTACGACCTGGCGTATGAGCGGGCGGTGCGGAACTTGTCCGGAACCCCGCGGCAGCAGCTGGTGGCCATTCAGGACACGGTGAGCATGGAGGGTGCTGTCACCCCCCTCCAGAGTCAGCTGACCCGGGGCCAGACGCTGAGCAGGGGTTCCCCAGGACACAGGCCACCGACGCCCTCTTGGTAGCGGGGAGAGCGGGAAAGACCTCTTGTCTTCTCCCTGTGACCCGGGCCAGGCTGGCTGCCTCATCCAGGGGCCAAAGCAACATGGAAGTGTTTCTCGTCCAAAACTGCTAAAGAACATCAGGTTGGTGGCGGCACAGTGTGAAGCGAGGCCCCTGTGGCCACTGGGTCGCAGCCCGGGAGGCAGGGGCCCGCAGGTGCGCCATCCACAGGGTGGCGGCTGGGCTGACAGCCTGCAGGGGACAGTTTGGGGGAAGCCCGGGGGCTGGGAGGGCTGGGCTGCCTGGTGCCTGCCGTACCTCCCCTCAGGCAGCCCGCGGCCCGACCTCTGGGGGCAGCTCTGCGGGGCACCCCTCGCCAGGGGCCTCCTTGCGCTGTCCCCGTCGGCCCCGCCTCGCAGCCCTGTCCCTCCCCGCGTTCTTGCAGTTCCTGTGCTGCGGCAAGAGCTCCCCTTTCGGCCTCCTGGGGGACGTGGAGGCCAGTCTGTGTCAGGGACAGCAGGCAGCCGGACAGGTGAGGAGGGGAGGCGGGGACCCTGTGCTCTCCCTCCCTAGGCCTCCCCCGGGCCCGTGCCGCCCGCTGCAGGGCTCCTGGACTCAGCCCCATGCTCCCTTCGCTCACTCAGCCCCTCACCCAGCTCCAGCCTGGGGCTCCCCGAGGCCAGGCCTGCCCTCAGAAGCCTCCAGAAGCACAGGGGAAGGTGGAAGACAGACACTGGTCTGGAGGGGGCTGGTCCAGAAGGAGCCAGAAGGACATTCCAGGGAGGGGACAGGGAGGGTCGGTGGCAGGCAGAGGCAGGGAAGGCCCTTCTTCCCCAGGGCCCAGAGAGGGGCCTGGCACCTCCCCCAGCTACCCTTGCAACCCTCCCCCAGCCACCTCCCTCCCGGGCTCCCCTCCCCCACTGTCCACTGTCCGGGAAACAAACCCACCCCTATCTCTGGGCGAGAGGCTCCTGGCCGTCCTCCAACATCAAGACAGGAGGATACAAATGGCTCCTGGCCCAGCAAGGGAGGGAGCCCACCCGGCACCACTGGCCCCAGAAGGGAGGCGTGTGGGGAGGGGTGCGGCAGGGAGGGCCCAGCACGCCGGGAAGGGGCCTGAGAGGGCATTCCTCCCAGCGGGAGGCCTCGGGTGCCCATCTGCAAAGCTGCTGAGGGACTGCTCTGTGCCTTCCAGAATGGCGGGGTCCCCGCTGTAAAGGCCACAGAGGGTGGGCATGGGCGCTGGATCCTCCCTGGGATGGGCCTGGGTGGGGCAAGGATGGTGTCCTAGGCGGTGGTCAGGCCCCCAGGCTGCCCCCCCTGGAAGAAGTGTGGCCACACGGGGAGTAGGGGCTGACCAGGGCCGTTTTCTCACGGGGCAGCCGGGTCAGGCTGCAGGGTTGTGGCCCACGGCTCCTGGGACCATTTCCAGCTGCCCCTGGGGGCCAGAGGTCCCAACCTCCAGGCCAACCGGTCAGTCCCCTGACCCAGGTGTGAGCAGGGCTGGGACTCCAGCTGGGGCAGAGGCCCAGGTGGCAGTAGGGAGGCTGGAGGGCCCAGTCTCTGTCCAGTGACGGGTGCACAGATGGCAGCCCGGACAGATGCCAAGAGAGCCTTCTCTTCCTCCCCATCCCAGCCTTAAGAAGAGCACCCCCCGAACATCCCAGGGGGCCTGCCCCAAATGTCACACCTTCCCTCAATTCACACGCTGCCAGCCGAGCGGTTCAGAGATGGGGCCGTCACCTCCCTCTGCCTGGGGGAGAGCCCCTGTGGAGGCCAGGCCCTGGGGAGGCATGGGAGCCCAGGATGGAGCAGGAGGCTAGGAGAGCCCAGGATCCCACGCCCCTCCCCCAGCTCTTTCTCTGCCCTCCACTCACCCTGGACCAGGGAGTGAGGGAGCCCCAGCCTGCCCAGGGGAGCCAGACCCGTGCCCCAGCCCAGGCGGCTTGCGGATGCCTAAGAAAGGCACGTGCTGGGCCTGGGGGCAGCAACCTTCCGTCCCCTGGAAGCCGCTCCCTCCTGCGGGTTTTCGCCTGTGTGTGATGTCCTCCCTCCTGTGTGTGAGCTCTGGGGCGTGGAGCGTACCACCCCAGCACACCCCCCCGCCCTGCTGCACTGCACATCATCCCAGCACTTGGCCCCAGGTGGGCACTAGAGGTCCACGCCTTGGCAGAGGCCCCGGACCGTGGGTGGGGAGGGGACCGCCAGGACGGGCGTCACGGGAGCCGCCCTTGGCTCAGGACTGCCTGCGGGAGATCAGGAGCTTCCTGACGATGCACAGAAACGTCGCCTGCGCCCTGACCGGCACCGGCCTCGCCATCACAGTAGGCGCACCCTCCCCCAGTGCCCCTTCCCCACCTCCCACCCCTCCACCCACGGATGCCCCACCGCAATGCAAGGCCACGGTCATCGGCCTCGGGGACCGGCAGGGCTCCCCGTGCACTGGGAGCCAGAAGGGAAGCTGCAGACCCCAGGGAGGCGTCTGGGAGGGGACCGTGCCTGCCTCGCTACCTTCCCCAGACCACTGAGAGCCTTGCAGAGCCCAGGGCCTTCCTGGGGGGGGCAGGGCTAACCCCTCCCCTGGGGCTGCTGGTGCCGAAGCTGACACCCCCTCCCTCCCAGGTATACGCGATGCTGCTCAGCTCCTTTCTCTGGTTCGCCATTCGCTCCGGTGGCAGCTTGGATCGCAAGGGCAAATACACCCTGAGCCGGAGGTAGGCCCCTGCCTGGCCCTCAGCCACCCCACCCCCCAAGGGCCAGAGGCCGGCAGCAGGTGGAGCGGGCTGGGTGCTCAGGCTGGCTCCCTGGCCACAGAGCCCTGCCCCTTCCCACGCCCCCAGCGGTGCTGCCTGACCCCAGCCACTGGGACCCCCAGACCAAGAGCCCAGGCTGATTCTCTAAGGCAGGTACTTTGGGGGTGGCTGGTCACACAGAGGGAGGGGGTGGCTGGAGAGCTGAATGCACACCTACAACCCCACAGGGACCCCCTTCTCTTCACCCCACTCCCCACCAAGACCCGACCTCACAACTGCTTTCCAGGGAGGACTCAGACCGGGACCCCCAGCCCCTCTGCCCTGGCCTTCTGGGTCCCTCCCTGCCCAGGCATCCTGCTTGGCCCCAGTGCATTCTAGAACCTTCTCACAGTCCCGTCTGCTTCCTAGGGTGCCTGGCTGCCAGGCCCCGAGCCCAGCTTCTTCAGACACTCCCAACGCGTGGCCCCACACTACAGCCCCCGACTGAAGCAGATGCTGTCCACGGCTGCCTGGGTGCAAGAGGACCCTTGGGGGGCCCTCAGCTGCTCCAGGATGACTGACACCCTTTGAACCAACTGTCCCACCACCTGTGGGCCCACAGAGCCTCTGTCGGCCCAAACGTGAGACTTACAAGGATGATGTGAAGTGTTTTCTGCCACATCGCAGAGGGACGGGGGTGGGGGGGGGGAGCGTGGGAGGAGGCCAGCCCAGAGAAGCAGGCTCTGTTTCAGTGGATGGAGGGATCAGGGTCCCTCATAGACCCTGTGGGGACAGGCTGGGAAGTGGTCAGAACAGAGAAGCCACAGGGCAGGCAGGAACAGACCCTCTGCCCAGTCTCATGAGGTCAGAGCCCAGGGCTGAGCCGGGCAGGGCTCCCCTCACGCTGCAGTCTCTGGGGAGCACCCCATCCAGGCTCAGCCAGGCTTTTTGGCAGAACACGGGTCCATGCAGCTGTGGGACCGAGGACCCCCTCCTTGCCGGCCGTCAGCGGGGATGGTCTTCTGCTCCATAAGACCACGTCCTTTGTACAAGAGGCCTTCGTCTCCCAGGCATCGAGGGCACCCCAGTCCTTAAGCTGAGGACTTCCGACCTCCCTGTCCCTCCAGCGATGATGGGGGGCCACTCTGCTTTCAAGGGTCCCTGTGGCTACATGAGGTCCACGGGGAGCCTCCATCTCTCGGGCAGAAATCTCACACTTTCAGGGACACCGTGATCACAGGTGCCGGGGCTCGAGGCGAGACATCTGGCGTGAGTGTGGGAGGGTGCTGCGGACACTCCCACTCTCCCGGACACCTGAACCCCCTCTCTAAGTGCCCTGTCCTCAAGGCTGTGCACCCTCCACTAGGAATCCCAAGCCCCCAGCAAGACCAACAAAGGGGGGGTTCCCTCCAAAACAGAAGGACCGTTCTGTGACAAGCAGCCAAAAAAGTGACTAAGTGACCAGTACCCACCCCTGTCCTCCCGCACACACATGCACGCACACGCACACACGCCTCCCGAAAGCTAGCATGTTCCCGCCTAACAGAGCAAGCTGCAGACCTTGTCCCCCTACGAGGACACCTGCATCTCACGGGTCCTCCACTGGGGGGGGACAGTCCATCCCCGGCCATGCGCACCCCGCTCTGGTCCTGTTCTGGCCAGCCTGCCTCTACAGCTCACAGAATATGATTTACAGACCACAGCCCCCGAAGCTGGCATCCTTTACAGGGCCGCGGTCTTTGCACGGCAGTGGTGGAGCCAGAGGAAAGAAAAGGGGATGGAGCGAAATTCTGTCCACCAGCGACTCGGCGGGATGGGAATCTCCAGGCGGTTATTTTATTTTTTGATAGAGATTGAGAGAGGGACCACAGCAGGGGGAGTGGCAGAGGGAGAAGCAGGCTCCCCACTGAGCAGGGAGCCCAATGCGGGGCTCGATCCCAGGACCCCGGGATCATGACCTGAGCCGAAGTCAGACACTTAACAACGAAGCCACGCAGGTGCCCCTCTCCAGACAGTTATTGAGAAATCAGACGGAGAAAACAGACATGGGTGGGACAGGACAAAGGCCCTAGTGCGGCACCATGGAGACCAGGTGGGCCACAGGGACATACCCCCTTCTGGCGCCCTGCGGGGCGGCCGGGCGGAGGGAGGTGAGCAGCAGGAACAACGATCACTGAGGGCAGTGACGGGGCCCCTCGTGGCATGAGCGTCAGACGCCTGATCCGGATCTAGGCATCGGAGGGCAGGCTCCCGGCACCACCCTCACTGGGGTGCAGAGAGAAGTCCCCTGGACTCTGCGACACAGGAGCCGCATGCACTGCGGCAGCAAAATCCACGACTGAGCCTGACCCGGCCCCCACTGGACCTGGAGAAGGCCACGTGCACAGGCGGGCTGGGTTATGGGAGCGGGAGCATGTGACAGGCCTCATCCAGCTGTCTCCTCTTCTCCTGGACTGTGTTCTGATGCCGGACGTCTGCCTGGGCGTGTCCCCCACCAGGTGCCGGCGAACAGCAGGCAGCCTTGCCCCTCCAGCAGCGTCCTTGGGGCCACACAGGGTAGAAGCAGGTGCCTTCTCTGGCCACAGCCCCTTGGCCAGGGTTTAAGAGCCTGTGGGCCCCTCCCGGAGACATGGCACAGTGGGAATGACCATGGGACTTGCAGCAGTGCGCTCCAGGAGGACATGTCAAGGACATCACAAGGATTCCTTCCAGGTCTGGAAGGTGACACACCGGCACGCAGATATCCCCAAGGGCTCCCTGGAAGGGGAGTGGTTGTGAGGGCAGCAGTGCAGAGGTGGGAGCAGCCCAGATACACTCCTTGAGAGCCCATGGAGGCACCAGAGGCCAAGAGGAGAGGTTCCGTCTGCCTCCAAGAGAGCCGGGTGCCTCGGGCCTGCTGGGAAGCCCCGATCTCAGCTGGCCAGTGACACTGACCTACAGCAGAGGTCCCGAGGCTATGGACGGGTCCTGGCAGGAAGGACACGAACTCTGGGCCAGGCTGTATGGGCCGGCGGTGAAGGCTTCTGGAGGGCGCTCCTGGAGCGGGAGACATTACCCGATCTGGGCGGTGGACCACCATTTCTTCACTCAAGGAGCTCACCCCACAGCTCCCAGCGTCCGAGAGCCCTCCCCGCAGAGGACTCGTGCGGCAGAGAAGAATCGGGCAATGAGAGCAGGGTTGTACACACATACATGTGCGCTCACACGCAGCCCAGTGGAGCCTCACTGAGAGTCCCCCCCACACAGGGTGTGTTCCTGGTGGGTCTGGGGAAGGGGCGCTGTGGGGCCGCGGGCACTGCGACGCTCCTGTGCCCAGAGGCACCTGCCCACGAGACCAGGGCCAGAGCGGGGCTCTCCTGGATCCAGAAACAGTAGCGAGGTCTTCAGACCCAGCGTGGAGTCCCTCACTGGACGCCGAGCCCTCACCCCCTCTGGCCGAGCCGGTCGTGGAGAAAGTGGCTCCAGTGTCTGGTGGTCAGACAGGGGTGGGTGCAGGGCAGGTGCTCCTGGTGCAGGGGGCTTGGCAGCCGGGCCTGGGGCCCTTCCAAAGACCACAAATGGAGGGGCCTGGGTGGCTCAGTGGGTTAAGTCTCTGCCTTCGGCTCAGGTCATGGTCTCAGATCTCAGGGTCCTGGGATCGAGCCCATGTCGGGCTCTCTGCTCAGTGGGGAGCCTGCTTCCCTTCCTCTCTCTCCGCCTGCCTCTTTGCCTGCTTGTGATCTCTGTCAAATAAATAAATAAAATCTTTAAAAAAAAAACCACAAATGGAGAGAAGGGACAGTAGTAGCTGAGGGTCTGGGGATGGATAATGAATGCGTAACAGCAGACGGGCAGATCACGCCAAGAAAGCAGGAGACAGTGCGGCCTCTTAGCCTCGTGACACCAGGAGCCCGCAGGGACCGGCCAAGGGTGACCAGGTGCGCTCCCACCTTCAGAGCCTGGCCAGACCTCAAGGAAGCCCGCAGATCTGGGCCGGGCGGCCTGGGAGACATCCTCACAGGGCGCGACAGAAGACCCAAATGCGTCTCCTACTCTGCCAGTACCTCATGACCCTCATGATTTTTTTTCCTATAAGGGATCTGGTCAAAGACCAAGAATTGGCCCGTGACGCGATTAAAAATGAGTATTTGGTCTTCGTTCCTAATTCAGAACGAATTAGGAACACACAGTTCCTAAAACTCTTGTCATCTCCAAAGTCATCAGAGTGTCTCTGTGTGTCCCTGGGATGACTGGTGGCTTTGGGACAGAGGCTGGTGTCCAGAGAGGCCAGGTGTGCAGAGAGCCCCGGGGAGGGGGGAGTGCGCGAGATGGAGTCTCTCCCCCAGGTGATCACCACGCCCACGCAGGGGAACCACCACGCAGGCTCCAGTTGCAGGGCTGGTCTCGCGGGGCTGGTCACTGACCACATGTCGGTGCCAGGAGGGAAGCACCCAGAGAGCGCGTGGACGCCCCGTGGCCCTTCCATATGGCCGTTCCCGACTTGTCTCCTTTCTAATAACAGGGAGTAGCAAGTGAAGCCCCTTCTGAGCTCTGGGTGCTGATCCGGGTCATCATGGAACCCGAGGAGGGATCGCGGGACCCCCCTGTTTCCAGAACACAGCTGGACTTGCCACTGACGCCCTGAGTGGGGGCCGCCCTGGGGGGCTGAGCCCTTCACCTGTGGAGTCCAATGCAGACTCCAGGCCGGCCGAGTGACCGCCGGCTCGCAGGACCCCAGCTGGTGGCCAGAGACTTGGAGAATCTGCTATTGGTGTTGGGAGGCAGCCCGCCTAGGCCCCCCACGTGCACCCTCATCCGTCCTGGGACTGGTCAGAACGCACCCATGGGATACAAGTGTCCCTTGTCCCCTTCCCCTCGGCAGAACCCAGTCCTGTCCCTTCTTACCTCCCAGCGTTTCGTTGCTTTTGTTTCTCGTGACCCGACTTGCTAGACTGCTGGTGTTATTGGCCTCCTCGGGGAAAATTCTGGCTGGGGGCCCTCCCCGCCACACCCCTCCCCACCACCAAGCCACCGGCCTCTGCCCTCAACGGTGCACCATGTGGGTTCTGTGGTGCTTCTTCCTGCTTCCGTGGCAGGCGGCTGGGCTCCCGGGCCTTGGTCCCCGGCGACCACCCGGACCCCACGCCTCCCCCCAGCCCCACTCGGCCACAGCCTGCAGGGCCCGAAGGCCGCTTTTTCAACATTGTTTGCTTCTGGGGGTTTTACCATTTCCACCGTGACTTCTTCGTGGGCCCTTCCGTTGTTCGGAGGAGAGGTTTTACGTTCTGTTGCTCTCGAGTGTGGCCACATGATGCTGAGGCCTCTGTTTCGTGAAGACGGTCTCGTGGCGGGCGTTGGAGGCCGGGCCCCAGGAAGGAGGAGCCCGGGGGAGGATGGCCTGTGCCAGGCCCCACGTTTGCCATCTGCACACAGAGTGCCCCGGCCAGCCCGGCCCGGCTCTCCTCAGCCGCAGCTCATCTTGGCCACGCGACAATAAGAGACCCCCCAGCCCACGGTCAGCTGAGGACTCTCGCCACACTGCAGGCTTTGACCCACTCCTGGGCTCCAGAGACAGGCCCAGGAGGAGCAGCCCACGGCCCTCGCTGCACCCCTGCCCGCCGTCCCTTACCAGATCCCACTGCCGCCCTTTAGCACCCTGGCTCGGGCGGTCGTGGGCCTCCCAGGCCTTCCCAGACCCTTCCCAGAACAGCCCTCTGGACTCCCCAGAAAGGGTTCGTGCAAGTTTTCCAGTAGCCTCCGCAGGGCTTTCTCAGAAGCTCTGGGCATCTGTGCCCCAGGGGCCTTCGTGTGGCAGCCAGCAGCACCCCTCCCCCCACCAGCAACCCAGCGCCAGGTCCCTTTCAGACCGTAAGGATCCAAACCCCAAAACGCCAAAGGAGTAGCTGGGAGACTGAGCTGCTGGGCGTCAGCCAGAGACCAGCTACTGGCTGATGGGAAACAGCCGGGGTGGGGGCGGGGGTCCCGGCCCAGCCAGGGGGCGAGCTCTCAGCCTGCCTACTGTTTAATGAACATGTTGGCTGTTGCTTTCTAAATCGATTCCCAAAAGCGCTCATTTTGGACGGAACGAGTGTTTCCGTTCCTGAGGATAAAGCAAACGCGCATCCCAAGTCCTTTCTCTCGGGGCTCATGCTTCCCCTGAGGGTTAGACGTCGCTGGGTTTCCTTAGCGCGTCCGCCCGTGGGTCTGCCCACCCGGCTGCCCGCATGGCTGCCCGCGTGCCGGGGGAAGCGCCACGTTACCCGGCCTCCCGCTTTCCCGCTGGGCGCTCCGTTCTGCGTTCTTCACAGAAGCCCGGTGTGAACAGCTGGCAGCCACACAGCCCGCGGTGCGGCCCCTCCCGGCGCGGACGCCCGTGAGGACCCCAGAATCTGGGCAGCGATGAGCTCCAGGCTGTAAGGCCAGAGAGTGAGGAGGCACGTGTGGGCGCGTCCGAACGTGGGTGTGTGTTGCCCGCGTACGGGTGTGCGCGCGTGTGTGTTGGACGGCGGGACATTCCAGCCAGAGGAAGGCCACCGATGGCGAGCCACCCACTGCGCCGGAGCCACAGAAGCGGCATGTGGCGCATCATAGAAGCCAAGTGGTTCGGGAGCGGCGACGAAGCAGGCTGGACGCCATCGGGCTGGGGTGGCCACGAGGGTGTGACACCAGGGAGACGGGACAGGCGATTGGCCTGGTCCTGCTGTCTCTTCCTGGCCAGGGGCACGTGGGTAGGAGTGGCCTCTCCAAAGCCATCGCCCTGTCCCCCGGCGCTCCCTTCCCCTTGCACGGCGACCCTGGAGGCCTCTTGTCCCCACTGACGCGGCTCAGGACAGAGGAGGACCGCCCCGCCCACACCAGACTGTGCCACGAGTGGCTTCACAGAAGCATCGG